AAACCCTGTCTCGAAAAACCAAAAAAAAAAAAAAAAAAAAAAAAACTGTACCTAGCTTTCTGTCTTATATTGAGTTCTCCTACACTCCAAGTGTTATTTTGCCTTTCACAGTCCAAGGTACTATTCTTCATAGGAAAAGGATATAAAAATCTGTTATTTAAAAGTAATTACTTATTCCAACCTTTTTGACATTTATAAGGTGGTTATGCTTCAAAAGCGAGTGATATGACCTCGACAAGTTCGACTCCTCACCTTGGAACCAGTAAATTCTCCTGCATTGACCCACTCTTCAAGGATATTCCTAGGCATGAGACTTCTTACTTGTGAAATGTTAATGCTCACCATAAACACCACCATACTACTGATAACAAAAAATGCCAATCATGGGTAGAGATAAATACTGCTTGGAAATCTACAGCTAGATCCTGCCAGACTGAATATGTATACGTCTCCACCCTTCCTAGTCTTTTATATTGAACTCCTAACTCACAAGATGGTATATTAGGAAGTAGGAGCCTCTGGTGAGTGATAAGATCCGGGGTGGGGAGCCCTCTTCAGGGGTGTTAGCATCCTAGTGAAACTGAGTGCAGAGAGTGACAGATGAATCTCACTAAACAGAACTCAACTAACTTAACACCATTGCTATTACAGAACCAAGTGAATCCAAAGGACACAGCCACGTGACAAACCCGCGTCTCCACTGTTTTCTATTAATCTACAGAGCAGGAAGGAAAACAGTCCCCGAAAGATCCATGACTTTCATGGAAACATAAATGAATGTGTGAAGTCAAATTTTGAAAATATCTCCTCCCCATAGGACAGAAGAAGGTGTAAACTATGAATTTCGTGTAGTGATTTGTGTTCAGGTACCACTCTGATTTTGCTGTGGATGAATTCTTGCTCCTGAGTGGAATAAATTGTGAGGAAATCACTCCGCAGCCAGCCACAAACAAACTCAAAGGCATCCCACTCTGCAGCGTGGGTGTGGAAGAGGTACTCGGCATCCTGATAGAAGAGCCAGGGCGCATCTGCAAGGAAACCAGATGATGATGTTGACTGCGTCAAGACTAGTGAGGGATGTAGGACAGACTTGAAGAAATGCAGGCTATGACTGACTCCAATAGCAGTTTGTAATTTGGTCACTTGGCATTTTAAAAAAAGGTATAAATACATGTGGATACACTGTACACATGTGCCTGTGCACACACATATAATGTGCTTATTTTCTTAGTCTATCTCACATAAGACCCCTTCACTAGTTTTCAAAGGTCAGGGATAGATACATATTTTAAAATAATATGCCACAAAAATGAAGTTGTGATGTTAATTTCAACCCGACTTAATGAGTACATTTATTACTTGGATTATGCCTTCACGATCTGTTAATTTGAATGAATTAGCCCTAGGTTGATATATAAGAAAGCAAGCAGTATGGGAAGGATAAGATGGGGTGTGTTCAGAAGTTTGAGAATTGCCAGGTTGGCTCTTACCGTACTGGTACCAGTCTGGAAAATTGGGTCTCACATCTGTAGAGTGAAAGCAAAGCATCTTGACTGAGCCTTTGATGCAGGTGCACATTTTCTGAACTACCTCACTCTAACCACACTGTTCCTACTTCAGCTTGAAAAAATAACTTGAAGGACAGATGCTCTGGACTGGTTAGACTCTGTGGAGAGTTCCAACATGAAGGGGAATCTCCAGAGAGTCTAAAGAAAAGCAGTAGACGCTTGCTGGGGGCCACTGCATGTCACACACTGTCCTGGGCGCTTTCCCGCATTCACAGTACAGGTAATCCCGTAACGTCAGAGTGGTATTTCTTTCAACTGTACTTACTCCATAGGTCAGCCGGTGACCTTCCTTCCTAATGGACAACTTGGATGGGGAACTGTACTGTCTCCTCTCCTCTGCCTGTTATCCATGCTTACCAAACTAGTGTAGCTAGACTCATCAGGCGGGCTGTTGGCCGTGTGGCTCAGGGTTCGAGTGCTGAGATTTTGAATCTCTGTGACTCTTTATTTGAGAAAGCGCTGTATCTCATTAAAACGCAAACATACAGTGAAGATCTTATACCTCTTGGGATTTTGCATATCCACTCGTGTTTGGAAGCACAGTTTGCAGGCAGCAATGTTTTGTTTGCTTTATACACAGCACAATTTCTTGCATCTTCTCCAAAATACGTACTGTCTAAAAACGAAGAGACAACCTGCGACAGATGAAGTTTGTTATTCCTTAGTGATGATCCCCCAAAAGAGTTTCAGAAGATCAAAGAAGGCACCCACGAATGTAAGTGCTAGGGCGGTGGTTCTCAACTTGTGGGTTACGACCCCTTTGCAGGGTCCAATGACCCTTTCACAGGGGTCACCTAAGAGCATCAGAGAACACAGATATTTACACTGTGACTCATAGCAGTACCAAAATTATAGTTATGAAGTAGCAACAAAGTAATTTTTATGGTTAGGATCACCATGACATGAGGAACTGTATTCAAGGGTCCCAGCATTAGGAAGGTTGAGAGTCACTGCTCTAGGACTCCAGAGGGATCTTCAGAAATGACTGCATGTCATTCCAGGGTTAGACTTGTCCACATTTGTGAGGACTAAGCTAATGGGTACTTAGTATTTTCTTTCTTTCTTTCTTTTTACCATAAGGCATGAAGGGCTGGGGATATGAGGCAGCTGACAAAGTGTTTGCTTCGCAAGCATAAGGATCCAAGCCTGCAGCACCCACATTAAATTTTTTTATTTTAAATTCAACATAGCAGCATAGACCTGCTATTCCAACACTGTGGGGGTGAAGGGAAGAAACTTGGTCTTACTGGCCAGCCAGTGTAGCCCAATTGGTAAGTTCCAAATTTAGTTGGGGGTCCTGTCTCAAAAAAGGTAGAGAGTGACTGAGGAAAACACTTGACATTGGCCACTGGCTTCCACACACATGTGCAAATATGCACACACGCACACACACACATATACACACACATTTTTCTATTGTTTTCTTCAGAAGAAATCAGATGCATGCTTCATTCTGAATTTGCATTGCTGTGGTTTGAATGAAAATAGGCCCATAGGCTCATAGGGAGGGGTGCCATTAGGAGGTGTGGCCTTGTTGGAGTAGGTGTGGCCTTGTTGGAGTAGGTGTGGCCTTGTTGGAGGAAGTGTGTCCCTGGGGGGTGGGCTTTGAAATTTCAGAAGTCCAAGCCAGGCCCAATGTCTCTCTCCCTCTTCCTGCTGCCTGCCAATCCAGATGTAGAACTCTCAGCTCCTTCTCCAGCACCATGTCTGCGGGTGTGCCACCCTGCTTTCAGCCATGACAATAATGGACTAGACCTCTGAACTTTAAGTCAACCCCAATTAAATGTTTTCCTTTATAGGAGTTGCCACAAGGTCATGGTGTCTCTTCACAGTAATAGAACATTGACTAAGACGACTATTTTCTGGGATCTTGGGTAAGCTTAGAGGTTCAGAGCTGTTCCAGATTTTGGTATCATCTTTGGAGCCAATTCATTTGCTAAGCATTTATGTTAAATGCTAAGCATTTAGTTTTTAAGGACTAAAGTTTAAGATCGAGCTAGGCTTTTTGTTTGTTTTGCTTTTTTATATTTTGAAATTTATATTTATGTACAGAAAACTTAGCAGTGTTCATTTAACCCAGTTTACTGGTAAGTTCTTTGACCTTTGTCTTTTTCTGCGTTGGCAATGTGAGCCACGGATTTAGGACCCAGGATGTTGCCTCCCCAGTGGCGGCGGATCTCATATTAACTGTTACTGTAATTGGTTCTAACAGCGTCCCCCAGCTTATCCAGAGCGCCCTTGTCTTCCGAGTTAACCTGTGTGAAGACAACAGTGGTGCATGTCTTCCTGTGGTCTTTCCCTTGGTGGTGCACTAGAGGATGCCCATCTTGTGATACAGCGCAGACAGGAAAGACCACCAGCTCAATGGGGTCTACATTGTGGGCAATCACCACCAGCTGAGCCTTCTTGTTCTCCACCAAGATAGGGACCATATTGACCCTGTTGGAAGGACAGGTGGTCTCCTAGTTGGGCCATCCCCTTTGCCAACAGCTTTCTTCTCAGCATGGGCCACCAGCCTTTGCTTCTTCTCCCGCTTTGTCTCTGGCCTGTACTTGTGAGCAAGTGTAAGAAGCTGTGTGAGATCTCTTTTGGGCTGGATGCCTTCCCAATGCCGAAGTTCTCAGGCCTTTTCTTAAACAAAGGATTCACCACCTTTTTGGCCTCCTATTTCTTCACGACGGTGGAGGTTGGGACCACCTTCTTCCCCTCGACCTCCTTTCCTTTGGGCATCTTGCTTGGCTAGAAGAGAGCTAGTTTTATTCTTTTGAGACAGGGTCTCAGTATGTAGCCCTGGCTGGCCTGGAACTCCCTATGGAGACCAGACTGGCCTCGAACTCATAGAGATTCACTTGCCTCTGCCTCCTAAGTGCTGAGATTAAAGGTGAGACACCATGCCTGGCTCCAGAGACAGCTTTCATGATTCAGAAAACCAACATTGTTTTGAGTGACCACATATTATATGTAATTCCTGTCACAGATGTTTTTAAACGAGGTGCAAACCTTTTTAACCTGACAGAAGAGTAGCAGAACCAACCACACGTGAAATTAGGGTTAAAATGTGGAAAATAAGAGGATGTTTTGAAGCCATTTTGAACTTTTTTTGGGGGGGGGAGTTTCGAGACAGGGTTTCTCTGTGTAGCTTTGCGCCTTTCCTGGAGCTCACTTGGTAGCCCAGGCTGGCCTCGAACTCACAGAGATC